AGAATGGCTGACGCCACCTGTAAACTAATAGAAGAGAGGAAGATGTTGAAACAGAAGATGAACCAATGCAAAGATGGACAACGGAAGGAGAAGCTGAGTTCAAAGTCAGACGCATTGAATAAGAAGCAAAGAAGAGTAGTAGGAGAGGCGAAAGACAATTCTACGACACATTGTCAACTCAAGCGGAACAGGTCGTAGGCAAAAGGGACATCAGAACACTATATCAGATAACCAGGTCTCTATTCAGGAAGAGATCAACACAGATGAAACCAATTAATGACGACCAAGGTAATCTAATTGACAGAGAGGACAAGCAAAGGAAACAATGGATTGACCACTTCGAAGGGCTCTTAAACCTACCACCACCTGCGAATTGTCTGGAAATACCACCAACAGCAGGAACAGAACTGGCAATGGTCACTAGTCCCCCAACAAAAGGAGAAACCTTGTTGGTAATCAAGCTATTAAAGTCGAAGAAGACAACAGGATCAAGCGGAATTCCTCCGAAAGCACTGAGGACGGATCCACAAACCGCAGCAGATATACTCACCCCATTACTGCAATGTTTGGAAGGGAGGAAAGGTACCTACCGATCAGAAGAAAGACTAGCTTGTCAAGCTACAAAAGATAGCAGACTTAGGCCTCTGCAAAAACTGACGCAAAATCATATTCCTCTACACGTCAAGCAAAATAATAATTCGTGTCATCCCGGAGGGAATAAAACATGCTCTGCATGCAGAACCCCGCCAGGAACAATCTGCATTTACGAAAGGCAAATCATGTGCTGATCAAATTGCAACCCTATGCATCATCATCGAACAGTGCATAGAATGGCAGTCGAATCTCTACCTCGAATTCAACGGATTAAGAGAGACATTCGACAGTGAAGTGATTTGGAAACCACTTCAACACTACGGAGTATAATGCCCAAATCTTTATCAAACTCATTTAACAGTTATATGACAACGTTGCATGTCAAGTGATGCGAAGCGTTTTTAGTGAATACAGCTGTGAGACATGGCTGCCTACTATCATCGATAATATTTCTAATTGTGGTGAACTGGATTTTGCACCAGTTTGTGGGGAGCAAGAAGACAGGAATACGCTGGACAGATAAGAAGGCTCTTGAAGATCTGGATTTCTCGGATGATTTGTGAGTAATGTCATCAAATAAATTCGAAGACTTGCAGGCGAAAACCAACAAGTTGACAGAAGAAGCAGGCTGTGAAGACAGAATTTCAAATGAACGTAGAGAAAATGGTGCTGATGAGGAGAACCAATCGACAACACCAACAGGCACCAGTCACTATCAACACGGAAAACAAATTGAAAGAGATCACTTCCTTCACCTATTTAAACAGCATTGTTTCAGCTACAGGACAGTGGATAAGGATGCTACAACTGGAATCGGAAAGGCTAAGCAGATCTCTGTCACCGTGAAATCAGTTTAGAAATTGTTTACACTGAGCATGAAGAACGAAATTCGGATCTTCAACATCAGTGTTAAGTCACTTTTTCTGTGTGGACAAGAAACTTGACGCATCACAGAATGTATCTCCAGCATTCAGTTGCATATTTTTATTGACAGCTACAAACCAATCAATAACCTGTTGGTCAACAAATAATGATGAAGAAAATGCAGATGGGCTGGGCGCACTCTGAGGAAACCATCGGGTGACATCGTATGTCAGATTGTCGACTGGAATCTAGATGGGAAACGACGAGTTGGGCATGGGTTCATGAGTGATAGGGGGGGGGGATCGTGTGAGGATGAGATGAAAGCTTATGGGCGATAGTGGGGCCAGAGGACATGACAGAATGCGGATGTGTTGTTGAAGCCCACTCGGTTCCACTCGGAATTCAAGAGAATAATAAGACTTTACTATGTTTTGAAATGGTGAACTCCGCATAAAACCGCAGAGTTGAATCATACACAGCACATAAGTTTTCTCGCAATTAACAGTGTCATTCATGATATACCCGATATGATTCAGCCTACAAACATTAAAACTTTTTCTATCTACTGAAAAGTGTACTATTTATTGACATTTATCAAAGATGAACTAAGGTAAGTTCTGTCTCTCTGTCTGTCTGGATTCAACATAGAACTTGGCACCGACGTGCGGCAGTTCGAGTTGCCACGTTCCAAATAGCACACAAAAGTAGACAAGAAGATGAGTGGAGAGAATCAATACAGTCTGACAAGTATAAGAGTGAAACAGAATGGGTAATGGTAGAAAGGAATATGAAAGATTACAGAGACTGAATACATCTGCGCTGGCCATTGACAACGATTTTGAGCCATGTCACCTATTGTCTCCAGCCATTGATTCCCAGAATCCCGAGGGCCCCAACGTGGAGGAAGTCTGCATCTCCCCACCTGACTCAGTTTAACTAAGGTTAAGTTAAGATAGGACATCCCCGGTTCTGTAAGTAATTTGACATTTTATCGATGCTACCGACAGCTGAGATTAGGAAATATATATTCTTTCATTAGGTATCCATCTAATGGAGGTGTAAAACACTACTGATTCTCCAAAAGGATTTCTTAGTTAAATGTTCGAATGTAACCGATTATTTATAACTAGAAATTAAGGCAAATTCCCAGCAGATTGTATCTAATAATCTATGGAATTGTAACGATGAGTGCAAAATGTGCAAACGACAGTACTAAACAGTATACTTTCCGCACTAATTAAAATATTTCAATCATGCAATTAGTGCAAGTCAGAAAGTAGGAAGGCTGAACCCTGCCTGTCTTTATAATATTAAATTATACCTACTAGATAATAGAAAGAAGAAGGGAATTGTTGTAGTATATGACTTCACTAACATACACTATATGATTGCGAATTGCATATTTAATTAATTATAAAGAAGGTTTATAAGGTGAAATCTTATTCATGCAAGCAGCTTCACTCTTCAGTCTTTCCTTATCTATTTTCTAGGATAATGTTAGTGTCTTCGCTAGTTTCCAGCCACAAGAGAATAAATAATGTTACAAGCATAATCACTTGTATTTCTAGTATAGTATAGTATTATTCCCTTTGCTGATTGTCAGTTTCTTCCTCTCTGAATAGAATTCTTCTCTTTGTGTTATGAGTGTATACACGTGTATACAGTAAACACAGAACAGAATATCACTCATAAAGAAAAAAAATTAACATTTTAGGAATAAATGTAGAATGCAACATTTCAGCTATCGATAGTGTAACACAGATTGTAGTCATTTTTGCCTAATTAAATAAATGTTCAATTTACATCGAACAGTAGCATTCGTATTAGTAGTGATGATGATGATGATGATGATAGTAGGTAAACAAAATAGTAACCCCCCCCTTACTCCGAAAAACAAAACAAAACAAAAACAGCAACAGTGAAAAAGAATAAACATTATGTCGATAAAAAAAGATAGTTACATTTTCTTCTTAATTATATTTTCAAGATGGTTAATTAAAAAAAAAATAGTTAATTAAAATAATGTAGAATAGTAAGCAATGAACTCGGAAGATAAATCCCAGTGTAATATGTACAAATTAATTATCAATTTATACATCTAACTACTTTTTCACCGGGCAGTTGGTTTCATTAGTGTACATTGAGGTTAGAACTCATTGAACAATGAAAATATGAGAATATAATTAACTGGTCTTTTTAAATTATGTAAAAACCAAAATATGGAGGATTTCACCATGAGCTGACATCAGTTAGAGAACCACTGGAAAACCTGGGAGTACTGGACAGCTCATGGTGAAATCCTCCATACAATCATCTAACAAAATCCCTACAAAACCAATACTTGAAAATTAATCTGATGCTCACTAGCGACTGGCCCTATTCAGGCAGTTAGTTAACCTGGGGTTCTAGTGGGAAGCCGTGGCCAGTAGGGTACAGCAAGTCGAAGATGGGGCAGTAACTCATCGAAGAAGACATTGCGAAGTGGTCGCGTTATGTCATGAACTGGCAGAAGTTAGAATTCATGGACTGGCCATTGGATCGGGTCCCAGTGACTCAACGGTCTACGAGCTCGCTAGCCTTGTAATCAGAAGGTCCTGGGTTCGAGCCCTGGCGCAATGGTGCGTGTACTGCTGAAGAGTTCCAAACTAGGGCGAAACAGCTGTCCAATACTGCCAGGTTTTCCAATGGTTCTCTAACTGATGTCAGCTCATGGTGAAGTCCTCCATCCAATCAGACAAAATCCCTACAAAACCAAAACTTGAAAAACCAAAATACCCACATGATATAAGTTAAAAACATACAGGTCGACAAAGGACATTCTTTCCGTAACTTGATTCATACATAGCCTAACAGTTCTATATAGAGTTCCATATGTTCATGCGATTATCTATGATGGTTAGTTCCTTTCATCTGCATATTTTCATATGTCTCTATAGGCGATATAAAGCACTTCCATGATGTATAGGCAGCTATTTACTTGACACAAACTTCTAACCGTTTGTTATTCTACACAGCTTTCAAGTCTCATATGCTGACTATAATTTACTGATTAAGTCTGCTATATAACTGCAAAACTGAGTAGTACAGAGCTGAGATATATTTTATTTGAAAATTAATCGTCAGGATGATCCACTTTACATATCCAAAACCTCAATAAAAGCATTTCCCATAGGTTTTGTGAATCTGTTTCGCCTTGTGCTCAGATTTTCCCATATTATTATCGAATCTCGGGTAAACACTTTCAGGTAGTTTAATAGAAGCATAGATCAGCATTCACAGAAAAACATAACCTTTACAAAGTACAACTACCCGGGATTCCACGCTCCTGATGTAGATTTATCTAGTGTCATCAAACAATTGTTCAGTTTTCACAGGTTGATAATTGTGACAGTTTGAATAAGTCAAAAAAAAAATATCAATAAACACTGAGCATAAGATACATACTACGAATATTTATATAAGTAGACAAAGAAGAAAACAAAAAAAAAAAACAAACATTTCATGATGGTACAAAGATGCCTGTACAAAAAAGAATCACTCACTGGGCTTGTAGTTTTATTTCCTCTGACAATGACGGGATTATTCGCTTCTCTGCTCATACTCATCATTGTCGGCTGGCAATAATTATGTGTCTTGTCCATATGTGACTGTAAATGTGACATATACTTTCCTGTGCTGGCAGTTGAAATAGGCATAGATATATGTCTACTTAATTTAGTGGATACATTACTTGTGGGTTTATTATTTGTCGGGCAAGCAGTATGACTCGACTTTGACGTGGAGTTTATCTGAAGAAAAAATAAGGGCAAAAATGCTAAAAAATTTGCAATAAGCACGGTAGGTATTAAAAATGGGATGATTTATCAGCTTTTTCTAATTAGCAGTAGTTAAGAACACCTGACTTTAGATTAAAAGATGAACTTTAGGCCATCTTTTCTCACCATTGTTGTGTCATTTGGTGGTATTTTTTAACGACAGATAGTATGTAATTAGTTTAAGCTGAATATCAAACTGTGCATCTAAGTACTTTTATCACGTTAATTATTCATTTACAGTTCACTTGTGAGAAAAGTTATCAGTTTATCGCATCGACAGACTGAGTGCCTTTTTGAATCAGCAAAATGAAGTTCGTCTCTAGAAAGTTACTTAAGTGTGTGAGAGATTGGAGACCAAACAGAATCGGACAATCTGTCTTGGTACGTTTCCATTTACCCTAGTACAGAACTTCTCAAAAATCATGGCCACAGAAAGTTTTAGGAAGTACTTAACGTCAGTAAATGTTGGCCACTCTATATTTTAACCCATTGTTTCGAAGGTTATGAGTACAATATGAACCATTTACTTTCTGAGTGCAATAGTCGAAAGAATCACGGGTACATAACACTAAGATGGATAAGTTTACTAGATGATCCATTGTATCTCACAGATCTTCAATTAATTATCAAAAGTAATATTTCCAATAAATATTTCATAAATATGCTGCACGAAAGAAAGTGATGGTGATATAACAACAATAAGGTAAATCAGGAACAAACCTGTTCAATTAAAAGTAGTTAATATTACCTGACTGCAAGAACCTGACTGGATGGCACGTTCATTTTCAAATGTACCATTATTATTCGACCGCACTACATGACTATTTGATGAAACTGATCCACTATTACCTTTATTTAGTGAAGTACAGTAACCTGGTTTAGATTTTAAGTCATTACAATCGGAGCAATACTGTTGGTCTTTTATTTCAGTGGTTTTAACGTTACGTTGGTTCCCAGGATGAACAGCCTGTTCGTCTATTAAGAAAAGAAGAAAAAAGGAGACAGAAAATGAATAACGTGTCATGTACGAGGTTAAGGAAGAACAGTTTTCAGCTAAAAAGTGAATATTATAAACTGTTGCACAGACAGCTGACAGTGTGAATTATTCATCACCACTAATATGGGCGAATATGACTTCAATGAATTACTGTAAACTAAGGAGAAATGTTCTATAGTTGGTTTGTAAGGATTAAATTTGTTTTTACGAGTTCGAATCCCAGTGGATGCGTACTGCCGATGATTCCCAAACTAGGGTGAAACAGCTGTTCAGTACTCCCTGGTTTTCAATGATTCTCAAACCAATATCAATCCATGATCAACTCGTGAGCAGAAATTGTCTACTACCGGACCAATTTTTATTTTGTCTATCATCACAGGATTTACTGTGTTTCTCATTGTGCTTTATGCATCTGCTATAAAATGTAACAATAATTTTAGAACATATACATTATCAAAATATCATATGCCTCAAGAAAGTAGCAGAGTGGTTAAATTATAATTTTATGTTATCAATTCTTAAGGTTGTTGATACATCAGGGAGCTGATTAGTAGAATTTCATAAATGTGTATTCCCATACTGCTACAATAAAGTTACACTCAGTACTTTGTTTGTAGAAAAGTGGCTAAACAGGCTACAAACTACCAATATATGGCATATAGAGTAGGCATTTTTATATATCTACTTACAGATAAATATGTTTCATAATCATGAAATAGGTGTTCTGAACTAATCAGCATTAGTTAAGCGAAAACCGATATAGAATTACAGATAGTCTCCTGATTCATTAAATGGTGATCAAAAACAGAAACCACACATTGAAAACTCATTCTTCAAACAAATAAAATAAGTAACCAAAGAATAAATTAAAATTTAATTGAATTTGAGATTTTCCTGTCGATTGATTGGACCGAAGTGCTCAGTCTCAGGCTGACACGTCGGAACATCCAGTTGACGAGTCCCAAATAAGACGAAATGCGCATCGTGGATTCCACTGCTAGTGACTATCCACCAATTAAATAATAAATTAAAATATTTGAGAATAAACACTATGACCCAAAGTTTCATGAGTATCTTGAGCTTCTATCAGGTACCAAACTTAGTAAAAATCAGCAATGAACAACTGTTTCTAATGAAATCTGTTAGCTCCCCTAGGGTTAATGTTATTGCGTGTCGTGTGCTACTGACAAGATTTGTCAGTAGTATATTCAGAGACGTTCATAGGCACAAAAATATCAAATAGTAGAGAGATAGATTTGAAGTCAAAGAGAGGAAATGAATCAGTAATGCGGTGAAACACGGGAGACACGAAAAGAAGACAGAAAAACACAAGACAAAGGATAGAAGTTGCACAACACGGAAGATCTGTGCAAATGACGATTTTTAGGCAAGGTGTTCATAATTTCCCCATATGTGTCTATCAAATTACCAAGTCCCTTGTCTTCTACCCTTCAAATATTGTGCGTCGGTGGTACAGTGGTTAGGACTCTCGCCGACCATGCACATGGTCCGAGGTTCGATCTTCTGCAGACGGACACCTGATATCTATGGTCGGCCAGCAAAATTTGGGCTACCGATGTCGCATGCTGAAAATTCCATACTTGTACCAAAAATACAGTATGGAATCAAGCTGTAATCCAAAAAAAAATAAAATAAAATATATGCATTTAGAAACAGCTGTGTAAAGAAAGTAATGATATAACTAACTTTGTTTCTGTTCACTGTGTTTTACTGTTACCATTTTCTCGTAATTATCATTTTTTCTGGGATTGTTATTCGGCATCAGTTCACCGGTAGATGACTCCAGAGAAGTCTAATAATCAAAAGATAATATTAGTTCACTACAAATAATGCAAGATTACTAGAGGTCATGATATGTTATACGCATATAGTGCCTTTTTTTATATTGTGCGAGATAATACTCATAACTTGGTCTTCGTATCATTGTAGACACAGAGGTTGTGATTAATATTAGGTTAAATTAAAATTATCTTACAGAAACCTAATGGTAGCTAAAATAAAACGCTCTGATAATTCATCAGATCGCTGATTGTGTCAATCTTAGATGCTGTTCAGAAATCTGTGTTTGGGGGAGTTGTACTGATACATTTACTTGTTTATCTTTCATGAAGTCTCGTACACCTTAGTAATTTCCTTAGACTTGTCGCTATCTGACTTATTTTAGAGTTCGTCTAGTGTTGCGTCAAAGCTTTTAGTGTCTAATGACACTTTTAGTTTATCGTGTGACTCTCCCATTTCAGCCTACAGCTGTTATTATGAAATATTTTCAGTTAATCACTGACGGTGTATATCAAAATTACTCAATCATGTTCTACTGTTATACAGTTGTGAAGCAGCAATGAGGTTTGAAGAAGGAAAAATTTTGGATTGTCAACACAATCGCATTTATTAAAAGAAGAAAAAGAAGAAGAGGTGATTAGAATGATAATCACAGTGACACGAAGGTAGAAAATAACCTAATCGCATCATGAATTCACTCTAACCGAAGATCATCAGGTATTATTCAGCAAGACATTTCTTTGACACTTTAAGTCAAGGAATGTATGCTTATCCACAAAAATGAGCATCGTAATATTATACAGTATGGAGAATAGTTCAAAATATTCATACGTATTAAAATTTCCATTGACAGTGTTCTAATCAATAACAGTAACTAAATAACCATTACTAGTCAATATTGTGCCTTTGCTGTAAAGTAACTTCAAGGCAACGGCACAAGTTAGAGAGCCAATGAAGTGCATAGAGTAACTAACAACTGTTTCGTACCTGTTTGGAATTCTTCAACAAGGCATACCCACGGCTTCACCAGGGATCGAATCCAGGACCTTAAGGTTGACTATTCAGCTACTGGGACAGAATCCGATGACTCATCAGTTTAAACTTCTGTCAATACTTGGAAATTAGTCTGGCGTTGACTAGTGGCACATTACTGGATGAAGATGATTCAAGCTCTAGTGAGAAGTGACTCATGGCATCCAAAAAGTTAGGTAAGACACCAGTTATTCACCGATGACACTAGCTAGCGCTGTATCGCGAAATGGAAAAAGTTTGTTCTGATATGCTACTGGATCCCATCCCAGTGGCTGGGTGGTCAACCTGAAAGCTCTGGATTTCACACCTACTGACGTCATGGGCATGTCCTGCCGTCGAGTACTCCCTAGATTCCAGTGATTCTTTAAATGAAGTCAGCTCGTCATCAAAATCGAAATCACTCAAATCCGTACAAACCGAAACTTGACAACTAGATCAATTAGGAAGTTATTGCATTTATAGAAAGGCACTTTTTTAACTTTACACTATGTTGGCTATTCGTACAACATTTTAATCATAAGTTCCCATTCATGTGAGTGTTTTATGTTGCACATCTTCCAATGAATTCGGAGATTATGCAAATGAAACATGCTGGGACAATAAAACAAACAACCAACCATCCAATTCTGCAAGTTCCCATCCTCACTCAGTTCCACTGATCGAAGCATTTTTCGAATTTTATGTTGAGCCTTCTTCTCCATTATAATCTACAAAAACAAAAACAAAAAAAGAAACGGAGTAAAACGGTCAGTTTCTAGGTTCTGTTCACCTATGATGAACGAATGTAAAAAAATTGAAGGGCATTCACAAATATCCTGAGAAATTATTTTATTTTTCCATTTTGCTCCTTCAGAAATAAGTCACATTTGTATAGCGTGAATCTCTTGAGAAATAACAACGAGGGAGTACTAAATAACTTCTTCAATTAACTAAACACCAATTCAACTTGATATTGTGCAAATTTTCAGGGGAATGTAAATTTAGTCTTGTTTGCAAAGTGAACCAATCCGAATGATTATCATTAATCACGTCCAGTCACAGTTGGTCTTTATCTTCTCTTACTAAATAAGAAAAACCTAAATCATTTCTTACATATACATCACTTAGATTTGGATTCCAGGGCTTCTGCTTGCTCGGTGTGCAAATAACTAAATTAGACCAGAGAAAATCCAAATTCAATACTAAGTCAACTTCTGAACAATGGAATTCGTTATCAGGAAAAGATAAGACCATGCTCTAGCTAGATGGTTAGTAAATATTCTCAAAGCTTTGCATGATAAGATAGTGAAATATGGCGTCCAAGATGTATTTGAACTCGTAGACAAAATCAAAGATATTAATATCAAGAACGAAACCATGATATCTCTGAACATAACATCGTTATTACAAATGTACCTCAAATAGAAACAGTTAATTACACATGTGAACAAGTGGACAAGCAGTCGATATATATTGGGGTCCATACTGAAATCCTAAAAGAGTTGTTATTAAGATGTATCATGAAGGTAAACTTCAAATTTGACGTCACGCTTTACAGGCAAGTGAACGGGGTGGCGATGGGCTCCCCACTGGGTCCCTTTCTGGCTGATTTCTTTCTAAGTAAGCTAGAAAATGGACCTCTCATCTTATTGCCGATATATGGATGATACCTTCATGGTTCTGATAAAAGTACAATAATTACTGAATTCAATGAAGTACATTCGGTTATGAAATTCAAGCGCGAAGAGGAATCCCAAGACAGAATCGCCTTCCCGGATGTCCTACTTACAAGAAAACCAGATGATAGCATAAAAAGAAATTTGCATAGACAAAGTACTTGGACAGCACAATATACACATTTTCACAGCTTCGTTCCTATCAAGTACAAAAGAAATTTAGTGAAGATCCTTAGCCACAGAGTTAGAGCTATATGCTCAGAAGAAGTAATTGAAGATGAATTAACCATTGTATATGACACTTTGATCGAAAATGGCTATCCCGACACACTTATCAAGAAACACACGACAAAGAAAGCGGAAAAGGACTACTCACTATCTGTAAACAAGAAGCCACTTTATATACAACTACAATTCAAGGGCGATATACCGAGTGAGATAATTACGAGGAAATTAAGAAAATCAGTTCAAAGAACTTTTAATTCTGGGGAAATACACGTATTATTCTCTACAGGACCGATGGTGATTCCTCGACTGAAAGATGAAGTACCTAGACTAGCCACTTCAAATTGTATCTACCAATTCAACTGTGCTTGTGGTGGAGCGAGTTATATTGGCTCTATATTGCTCTAGGAACTTGATTTTTTGTACTCGCTGGGGAAAATCTCCCACTATGGCTAAGTAAAGGTGTAGTTAAAACCATTAACGGTTCGATATTGGACCATGTGGTACAAACCTGCCACAAAAGCCAGCGTTGAAGAATCCTTCTTTATAATCTACCGGGTGCCTAATAAATTGCCAAAATCATCGAAGCACCGCAGGCTCCAAACAGCAGAGGATATCGCAATTCGCCTCGAACAATCAGTGCTCTGTGTTCAAAAGAAGCAAGTCCAGCCCCTACTACTGCCCTGGCTGGCCTTCAGTAGAGACTATAAATTCATGAACTTGTAATATTATCTTTCCTAATTTTTCTGACATTCAGCTTATTTTATGTTGATGCTATTGAATTGTAATCCATTGATATAATTGATTCGATGTTATTTAAACATTAATTTTGTTCATAACACTAATTCATTCATTCAATATAATGTATATATAACTGCAGAGCCTGATATGAAGTTATCGAAAAGAGTACTCTAAATTCAGTATCCATTCTTTTGGAAAATTTTAATGGGTATTTTTAATCAGCTCAAAGATAATCGATCAGTCGAAAATAAACTACCAGAGGAACTAAGGGTATATAAATTCACAACTACATCACTCATAGAGAACTGAAGAAGGTTAGAAACTTTCATAATCTTCAGTGAGGACATTTTTTAAATATATGCGAAAGCTGTATGATAGAAAAATTAAACTGAGAAGACAAAAATCAGGAAGAATATAACCATTCTTTTCCTAAAGTAGTGAATTTCAGAGACAAGTAATTCTTTATTTGTACTCAGGGGTTTTCAGCAGGATACTTCAGTCTAGTTAAATTTTCTCTGTTCCCCGATATACTAGACGCCTTAGGCTAGAAAATAGGGAAGCAACTTATGAGTTGTTATACTTCTCATCGGAGAAGTTTGTAGTGGAGGTCATTATTCAGTTTTGGATGGGAAAAGATGAACATCAGTGTCAAGATATTGTAATAAAGCAATCTCAGTTATCAGTGGTCTCTCCACAGGCACATTAACATGCTACAAAATTTCCTTTTCTCGAATTATTATCTGCTCATCAGGTTAACAAAGTTATGCGTTGATAATTCACCTCGCTTGATATCAGTATCAAACTTCACTTTCACTATGATGACAAATTTTATTGATAGATTGATGAGTTAGATATTTGGAGAAGACTTTGTTCTGTCTGCGTAAATACCTTCTTAGAGAATCTACAGAATGTAAAACTAAAAGACAGTCCTAGAAATAATATTTTACATCATATCTGTTGATGATACTTTCATTACATTCAGTGCATTATCTTATACGTCCTATTTATTAGAAAACTTTAAAAGCAGATATAACAATATTGAATTCAGTATGCAATTTCCGCAAGGTTTAGTTATCTATATATACATCACTATACGAAGTAGGAAAGAAGATAAGCTTCAAAAATCCATATATCTACCAAGCACGTGTATTGAAATTCGTGTGAATTTTATCAACTATGGTTCACTAAGGCACTAACAGGCATTATTGTTATTATTATTTTATCCTTTAATTCCTAGAGGAACATAGGGCTTCAGCTGCGCACCTACATTGCCTTCGGTTTTCTGCCAACTTTTTCACTCCGCTCCAAGTCTGCCCACATGCTTTCATCTCCTCTTCACATGACCTCCTCCAAGTCACCCCACCCTACCACTGACGATCAACTCGCCGCCCGCTTCCCTTTCGGGTTCCACTCGAGCGATGGCTGGTCCAGTGATGTCACTTGATGGTTTCCTCAGAGTGTGGCCAGCCAATCCATCTCCATTTCTTCCTGCCTATTTGTTTCACAATCGGTTCCTGATGAGTTGGCTCGCTTATTCCCAGAAATCCCTGTTGCTGATCTTTTCTGGCCGGCCATCTGATCTTGACCGGAGTACTGAGTGAAGACAACTGTTAATGAAGGTCTGAAGTTTGTTTGAGATGCTGTTTATGACGCGCTGGCCAAGTCTGTGATCCGCATAGAAAGTAGCTATGACTGACTTCACATTGGAGTTGAAAATCTGAATCTTATTTTTGATGGTGAGTGCTGTTGACCTCCACACAGACTTGTTGAGAGTAATGAAAGCTTGTCTTGCTTTTCCGATTCTCGCTTTGATATCCTCGTTAGTGTCGTCCGCCTGTAGTTGAAACGATGCTTCCCAGATCGGTAGGTGGATAGGTAAAGGAGGTTGTTTCTTTCAGGTTCCTCCCATTTATGCTGGCTGATTGTTGTCTGTTGTTGTTGTTGTGGCTGTTGGTGGTGTTGGCCAGGAATCTTCATCACCTCTGTTTTATCTATGTTCACCTGAAGTCCAATCTTCTCTGGATGCTTCCTCTGCCAGCTTGTTGCTGCTTTTGACTTGCATATCTTCCAGTTTGTGGGAAATCAGACATATATATGTCATCAAGGGCGAATTCCAGATCCTCCAAGTCTCTTTTTGTGTGAGTCCATTTTATTCCTGTTTCCTCATTGGCCGTTGTCTATCGCATTATCCGATCTACTGCAATCAGGAAAATCATTGGCGATAGCAGACAGCCCTGCCTCACTCCCGTCCTCACTTCGAAGGCCTCCGTAAGTTTCCCGTTGTGGATTACTTGGCATACAGCATTGTCGTTTAGCTGTTGGATGAGATGTATAATTGTAGATGACACCCCACCGTAGTAGCGAAGTAGTTTCCAAATCACCTCTCGATCGACACTGCACTATCGAAGGCCTTTTCAAAGTCGATGAAGTTGAATGAGGTGCAGAGGTGACTTGCATTCCAAGCTTTGCTCAATGATGATCCGTAGTGTGGTGATTTCATCAATACATGACTTGTTTCTCCTGAATCTAGCCTGTTCCGGTCGTAGTTTTTTATCCAGCGTGGCGTGTTTGATTCTCTCCAGGATGATGTGGCTTAGTATTTTGCTTGGGATGGACAGGAGCATAATTCCGCGCCAGCTTTTGCATTGACTTAAGTCTCCTTCCTTTGGTAGTTTGAATAAGTATCCGTTCTTCCAATCCTCGGGTACTTTGCCCTCCTTCCACACCTTCTCCAACAATGGCGTCATCAAGTCCAGTGTTGTCTCTGGGTCCATTTTCAGTGCTTCTGCTGGGAACAGGTATTATCGCATATGTTATTTAACAGAGCAAAAATGATCTACTCCAGTGATAAAATACAGGAACATTTGTGAATTAGTATGAAGTGTCAATAAGACAGAGGATGTCTGCAACGCATATTAACAACGGAAAACAACAGATCGGGAAGAGGATGTTATGTAGGCTCAAGCCACCATCTGCTGCAAGGAACATTCAAGATTAAGTTGAAATTCTTCGAAGAACTTGTAGTTAGACCACAACACCGAGAAACTGATATAAGGTGCCTCAAACGACACCTACAGTGCAGTCAACAGGAAAAAGTCGGCTGCAAAATCACACAGGAAACTTATATGGAAGGACATCAGATCTCTCTGAAAAGGATAAGAGAAGCCCGTATAAATTTCTTGGGCGAGTACAAGAGGTGAAAAAGGAAAACTCCCAGGTTTTCCAATGGTTCTCTAACTGATGTCAGCTCATGATGAAATCCTGAAAAAGGAATGTTTGATTAAGAACACGTGAAATTCGATTAAGTAAATTGACATGGCGAAGCAGGAAATGAGCAAATGCAGAGATGAACAACGAAGTGAGGAGCTGAATTCAGTCTACAGCACACTGAACAAAGAGGTGAACAAGAATGCCGACAAAGAAAAAACACACGATTTTATGACATGATGGCAACTGAAGTAAAACAGGCCTCAGGTAAGAGGGACCTTACAAAAATAAATCAAGTAACCAGGTCTCTATCCAGAAAGAGATAAACACAGAGGAAACCAGTGAAAGACAGCGAAGCAAACCTGATGACTCAAAAGGGGAAAACAAAGTAAACGATGCGCTAATCATTCCAAAGGACTCCTTAACCGACCATCAACTACAACTGTTGCAGAAATAACACCACCACTAACTGACGGAGAACTGCAGGAAACCACTAGTCCTCCAACAGAAGCAGAGTTCTAGAATGCCATGAAGAACTTGAATGGTGGAAAACAGTAGCACTAAATGGAATCCCGTCTGCAGCACTCAAAACGGATCCACACACCTCTGCGGATATCCTCACACCACCAACGCAGAAAGTTTAGAAGGCGGAAAAGGTACCTACCGATCAGAAGAAAGACTAGCTTGTCAAGCTACCAAAGAAGGGACACTTAAGCCACTGTAAAATCTGACGCAAAATCATGTTACTCTACACGTCAAGCTAAATATTAATTCGTGTCATCCTAGAGAGAATAAAACATGCTCTGCATGTAAAACTCTACCAGGAACAATCTACATTTACGAAAGGCAAATCATGTGCTGATCAAATTGCAACTGTATGCACCATCATCGAACAGTGCATAGAATGGCAGTCGAATCTCTACCTCGAATTCATCGAATTAAGAGAGGCGTTCAACAGTGTTGACTGTGAAGCGATTTGGAAACCACTTCAACACTACGGAGTGTAGTGTCCAAATCTTCATCAAACGCATTCAGTAGTTATATGACAACGTTGCATGTCAAATGATGCATAAGGGAAAATTCGGCGAAGTGACTGTAGTGAATACAAGTGTTAGGCATAGCTGGCTTCTTTGGCTGATGATATTTCTGGTCGTTGTGGTGCAACAAACGCTTCGGAAGCAAGTTGACAGACGAAAATTGAACAAAGGAAAAGACTATAAGGCATCTGGACTCAGGGATGGTTTATGTTTCTAGCGGCACATACTCGAAGATATGCAAGCAAAACTAAAAAAAAAAATAGCAGGAGAGATAGTGAAGACGGGACTTCTAGCGAAAAAAATAAAAGACAGAGGTAATGGAGGCAATTAACCAACAACAACAAGCATCGATCGTCATCAAAGGGATACATCTAAAGGAAGTCAGTTCTTTCACTTATCTAGGCAGCATCCTTTCAGCTAGAGATGGCACCGAAGAGGATATCAGAGGCAGTGTGGAGTACGTACCGATGCGATTGTACACTTTTTGGTTATTTGTAGAAATTAGGGATATTGTACATGATTTTTGTTTAAAACGCTTCTTGTTGAAATATACATAACTTCCGTGTACAATTGAAAATACACTTTGCTGTTGGAGACTTCACCTTCTCCCTGGTTATTTCTGCTCACTTGCTCAACTCACACCGTGTTGTATACTTCGGATTTATTGTAGGAGTCTACTACTTTCAACCGAAGACGTTTCTACAACCGGAACACAGCAGCTACAGCAGACGCAACCCAAACGATTAACGTACTCGTGGATTATATACATAATTTGTAGCAGAGGACTTAAACTTTGTATCCAAGTAATCCTTTTTGTTGATATAACTCGTCACTGCATTTTTGGTAATATATTGTGATTTAACACTCCATTGACTTGAATTATTATTCTCATATTTGTGATATTAGTGAACTCTAGTATTAGTCCCCTACAGCAGGACCGGATGAATGAGACAGACATTCACCATACTGAAATCAGTGTGGAAATCTACTGCGCTTAGCATAAGGAGCAATATTCAAATTTTCGGCACTAATGTCAAATCAGTGCCTCTATATGATTCACAGATTTGTTACATGCGTCACAAAAGTGGGGATTTATGTCTCTCAAATAAGCATTTTCAACAGACTACAGGCTTGCATCGACAGGTTCTGCCCTCACTTTATACTGAAGATCAGGTGGTCAGAAAAGACTGACAACAAGGTAACTATGGTAACGGACCAACAAAGAATCTATTGCTCAAGAAATATGCAGAAGTAAATGAAGATTGATTGCAATATAGAAAAAATCCCCATTTAGACATTTAGAAAACAGAAAGATTAAGCGAAGAAATATTTACTTTTCAATTAGATCCTCATCTCTGGCTCTATTCTAATATATACATATATAATTTTCTGAATTTTCTAGAGGCACATTATTCCTTTCAGTGTTTTGCCACACTATAAATTTATTCTCGTAGGTTGATCGATAGGAAAGAAAACAGCCTCACTGTGAATCTGATAATAACAGTCTACGTGAATATATATGTGTAAAAATTGGGCACTGTTGTAGTAAGTAATTCCATATTAGTTTGTTTATTAGATGTATCACACAGTGAAACAGTATTATCTACTGAAGTGATAAGATTATGAAGAATAAATTTTGTTCGAAACGTCATCCAGTAAATAATACTGTTTCACTGTGTGACATATCGAATAAACAAACTAATATGGAATTAGTCTACGTGAATGTTCATCACTTCCTGTCTGTGCCATTTAATGTAGACCACAAGTATCTTATTAAGAGTTAACATTTCATTGAATGTATGTATCTATCAATTTAGCTTCAAAAGTGGTCCCCGCACAATGTGATAACACCAAGAATATTTCATAGCTAGATGCAAGATAATGAGATTCTATGGTGTCTGAACTGACATTTCATGGACGTGTATCATCACCTACATAGGTTAACATCAGCAACGAGCAGTTGAATTAATTAATCAATATATCTGGTGTGTTACACACTACAGAGAACATAATCCAGGGATTACGTCAGTTACAACGTTATATTAGGTAGATTTCAGAGAAGTAAATTTACAATATTCACACAGGTAAATTATCTTTGATTCTGCAAAAAACATACTCATGGGCCAGAAAATAGGTTAAGTGTTACACATATAATTAAATAAGCCTTATCAGTTGATTGTAAGTTACACTGTATTTAATTACCTCATACAATTTCTGACGATAATCTGATACGCTCAACTGTTTATCATCCCTTAGAATAGGCGTAACTGGATGCTCAAGTACAATTTCAGATGCGGGATCACGAAATCTACTCAAAAAAGGAATTGAAAAAAATAAATTAAAATATATTAACTCCATTTCTAAAATTTATTGGGTAAAATGAAACTAAGTTGAAAAAAGTTGAACATTGTATATCTGATAAGTAATTCATGAGTTTTTTTCCCTTCACGTTCCCCAGTGGAACATAGGGCTTCAAGCTAGTGGCTTGAAGTTTCTGCAGTAGCAGTATTTAGTTTTACAGGATGGGGTTGCTAGCCTCATGCCCAACCTTTCCTCTTCACCAGCATTATTTCTGGCTTAGCGAGGTAAAGGAGTGCGTTGTCGGCCGGGGATCGAACCCCGGACCATGTGCATACTCAGCGAGCGTCTTAACCGCTATACCACCAACGCAATTCACGACTTGTGTTCTAGAAAAAATTAATATCGATAGTACAAATTTATGATCAGTAATAATTGATTTCATCCTCAACTCTTAGACGATACTGTTCAATAACAGAGGTGGGGGGACTTCGCATAGTAACTGGGAAAGTATTAACGTCAGGTGACTTGCTCATTCTACAAATTATGGAGTAATTTACTCCGCTAGAAACACCGTTGAAACGTTTTAAGTTTGATAAAAATGAGTCTTGCGGTTGAAAACGAAGTATCTTCTAGTGTGAGGTAATAAAAGAAACTTATGACAGAAATTTGAGCAAAGTTAGCTTTTAACGACCTTTATTTCTGTATAGGCTGGTACTGTAAAGCGTTAGTTACAGGCTGTATACCAACTTTAAATCGAATATAAACTGTAATTAGACATAAATCTCTCTTGTCAATTAATGTTATTGATTAAGATAAGTAAGGATAGAGTCGAGGTAAATTTTTAAAAGAATGGCATCTTATTTCCCACATTTTTCACGAATTTGTGTCCTTAAGTCTAACAACCACCTTTATATCACAGAAACATTGACTTCGGTGAAGGAATAGTCTAGGATGTTAAAATGGACGGTGGGGGGGAGGGCGGGGTGGCGCAGGAATTTTCATAGATTATTTCCGACGTGGCGTGAAACCAGCATTAAACCGAGGGAATTTTAAAAACGTGTGTAAGCAGATTACTGAAACAAAGCAAAATTAAACTCAGATACTTTACTTTAGTATGCCTGAATTTAATACAAGAATATTGTAGTACAACAATTTGTCTCAAAAGGATTTGTAAATATAAAATTCTTATGTTACTACCTACCTACCTACCTTTTAACATAGTTATGGTTTAATGCTTGTTCAACGGTCAAACGTTTCTCTGGATTTAACTGAATCAGCTTTACAAGCATGTCAAAGGCTAGTTCATCTAAACCACTGGGAAACAAAGTTTTCAACGGACGATGTGGTCTGAAAAGTTGAAAAAGCAAAACACCAATATCCGGAATGAGATCATTTTATTATGAATTACAAAGAAAGAACTTCGAACAAGCTTGACATACATACATTTCTTTAGTTATCGATGACAAACAGTCGAAATCCCATTTCATATGAACAGTATGATAAAATAGCACTTTAACGTATTCTTATTTTATTGTTTAGCTTGGTAAGTAAGAACTCTGTGATTTGTTTTCATGACTTCTTGTAGTTATCTTTGAACTTTGCAGGGATTTATGCTGCTCTAAGCATATCCTATATCAGGACAAACATTAGTTTAGCGCAGGTGAGAAATCTGTTATCTGCATAAATTAGTTGAGGTTTAGAAAACCTTCGGTTAGTAGTATGATCAAATGTATACCATTTGTTATATTATTATTATATCCATTAATTCCTAGAGGAACATAGGGCTTCAGCTGCGCACCTACATTGCCTTCGGTTTCCTGACAACTTTTTCACTCCGCTCCAAGTCTGCCCACATACTTTCGTCTCCTCTTCACATGACCTCCTCCAAGTCACACCACCCTAGCACTAATGACCAACTCGCCGCCCGCTTCCCTTTCGGGTTCCACTCGAGCTATGGCTTGTCTAGTGATTTAACTCACTTGATGGTTTCCTCAGCGTATGGCCAGCCAATCCATCTCCATTTCTTCCTGCCTATTTGTTTCACAATCAGTTCCTGTTGTGTTGGTTGGTTGGCTCATTGCCAGAGATCCCTCTCTGTTGCTGATCTTTTCTGACCGGCCATCTGATCTTGAGTGGTATTGAGCGAAGACAACTGTTAATGAAGGTCTGAAGTTTGTTTGAGATGCTGTTTATGACGCGCTGGCCAAGTCTGTGATCCGCATAGAAAGTAGCTATGACTGACTTCACATTGGAGTTGAAAATCTGAATCTTATTTTTGATGGTGAGTGCTGTTGACCTCCACACAGACTTGTTGAGAGTAATGAAAGCTTGTCTTGCTTTTCCGATTCTCGCTTTGATATCCTCGTTAGTGTCGTCCGCCTGTAGTTGAAACGATGCTTCCCAGATCGGTAGGTGGATAGGTAAAGGAGGTTGTTTCTTTCAGGTTCCTCCCATTTATGCTGGCTGATTGTTGTCTGTTGTTGTTGTTGTGGCTGTTGGTGGTGTTGGCCAGGAATCTTCATCACCTCTGTTTTATCTATGTTCACCTGAAGTCCAATCTTCTCTGGATGCTTCCTCTGCCAGCTTGTTGCTGCTTTTGACTTGCATATCTTCCAGTTTGTGGGAAATCAGACATATATATGTCATCAAGGGCGAATTCCAGATCCTCCAAGTCTCTTTTTGTGTGAGTCCATTTTATGCCTGTTTCTTCATTGCCCGCTACTGTCTGTCGCATTATCCAATCTACTGCAACCAGGAAAATCATTGGCGATAATAGAAAGCCTTGCCTCACTCCCGTCCTCACTTCGAAGGCCTCCGTAAGTTTCCCGTTGTGGATTACTTCGCATGCAGAATTGTCGTATAACTGTTGGATGAGATGTATAATTGTAGATGACACCCCACCGTAGTAGCGAAGTAGTTTCCAAATCACCTCTCGATCGACACTGCACTATCGAAGGCCTTTTCAAAGTCGATGAAGTTGAGTGAGGTGGAGAGGTGACTTCAATTCCAAGCTTTGTTCAATGATGATCCGTAGAGTGGTGATTTCATCAATACATGACTTGTTTCTCCTGAATCTAGCCTGTTCCGGACGAAGTTTTTCATCCAGCGTGGCTTGTTTGATTCTCTCCAGGATGATTCGGCTTAGTGCATAGTGTTTAACTGTATTTTTTCCCTTTTTCAGTATTTACATCACAGTTGTATAACCGACAGGAGTCAGTAAGTACCATCTAAAACATATTGTCTTCCTTTTTGAAAATAATATCACTTAATAAACACTGACAATAATATCAAGTACTGTATATTCACTGATTCAACACAAGAAAATATAGGCGAGTATCACAAAAATGCCCTAATGTAAAATTATTCGATAGCAGACATAGAAAATTGAATTCATTTAACTAACGGTTAGCATTAAATACAGATATGAAATTGAATTTCCTGATACTTCATAAATATATACGAGGCAGAATGATCACAAAGTAAAAGAAAGCAGGTATTCCAAACGCCAGAAAACACATTTAAGCTTGACTGAGATCTATAGCTGGCTTTTCTTACGTTTCAGGCATCCGTTCGGTATTCCTATTACATTTCCTTTGTGTTACTCAAATGCAGGAAAATGCAACAACACCAAGTTGAACTAAGCAATGTGTTCCTAAAGTTCACATACCCATTCTCACCTATATTATTACTGTTCAGTAGAAATACTGTCAGAAGGTGAATTATAGATGTCCGTGTTTTTAATCACACACACCATGTAGAAATAATCTGACCATTGCAGACATTTATTCCAACATCATCTTTATATCAGGTTGAAGCGAAGATAACACTATGGACAAATCCGGATGTTAGAATTGAAGAAAACGAAACCCATTAGAACATTTCCAGTTGTTTCAAGGCAGAATAATGTAACAGTGATGTTTGAAGAGATAAATGGATAAATAACAACTCGAAAACTCGCAAAACGTGTAGCAAACCAAAGTGACACGATTTATAAAAAAAAACACACATTCAGTCATTACAAAAAAAATATACCAAAATGAGTTGTATTCAACGCTAAGTAATAATTATTTGATGAGTGCTCAAGGAAGACTATCAGCAACGTACTTCTGCAATGCTTTTTCTAATACTGATTTACCATAGTCCGAACGAAGGCATTCAATGTCTGAAATGCAATGGAATATAAGGAGAATTTTATGAAATAATGCTCTTATAATAAGAACAGTGAACACTGATCATAAAAGGCAACTAAGTTATACAGTTTGGTGACACTATAGCATAACGAAGAGGGATATTTTATTCACTATATATATGGTTAAAAAACAGTGCAAAATTTCTACTGTAGCACATATTAGAATGACATGGAATTTCTATATTTGGTTACAGAGTTATATTCACTACATTCACTGGCTTTGACAGAATAGTTCTAAAATATTTGGCCGCCGAGTGACAAGTAGACAGTTGTAAAAAATTATATGTGTAAAATCTCAGCGATATTGAAATGAGTAATTCCAACGTTTCGTTCGGCAATCTGGTCCGAACTTCTTCAGGGAAATTAATCGAAATTAACATAACAGAGGTTTATATATAAAAGGAATATCTCTTGCTTTTAAATACTTTGTCCAATCATGAGTCATAAAACAAGTATTAACAAGTATAATAAACAAAATTGTATGATCAAAATTTGATCGCAGACTTACAAATATTGATCTACCTTTGTTAAACACTCTAAACACAGTGTGTATATGTGTGTGTGTGAGCGGATAAACAGTTGTAAAACAATGTCTCAACGTCTCCATAAGTAGATATAGACAGTCGGGAACTTTGACCAAGTATTATTAGTTAGTGATACATGTCCATTCTTATTTATTAATCAGGATTTCCTATGCGTCAGCTAACATCACACCCTCATGTCTGTTCAAACTGTTAGTATCAAGAATTTTATGATTAGATGTATTTTCAAAATTATGGTGTTTAGGATTAGAGTTTAGTTGAAGCACCCTGTTAAACTTATTGCTTTGTCTTCTTTCTGAAAATTGAACTGCTTTATTCGACCTACTGGAGTTATCAGTGACTGGACAGCTACGGATTTAGGATACGCATTCTGTTGCAGACAACGGAGATTGAAAACACGATGACTGTGCCAATTACAAGTTGTGTTAATTTCGATTAATTCCCCTGAAGAAGTTCGGACCAGATTGCCGAACGAAACGTTGGAATTACTCATTTCAATATTCCTGAGATTTTACAAATATAATATTTTACAAATTCACCGGCTTGTTTGAAAATTCACTCAGCATCAACTTAGGTGATGAATATAACGTGTTAACCTATACAGATGCCTCTCAGGAAATTCATCTGCCGACGACTGTCCCGTATGCTTCTAAACACAAAACCAAATCACAACTATGCGCACTTAAGTAACACTGTCACTTTCTGCTTTAACGTTCAGTGCCGAAAAACATAACTATTTTATGAAAAACCACTAATTCGTTTTGTAATAGATGATATATTTATTTGTCTTGTTTAAACGTATTCAATTGTGGGTATGTTGACTAGTGGTCGTGGCAATTTATGCACTCCAATTTTCATCATGAATGTCACCAGTTTTAGTGCCATGCAAAATTTCTAAGTGAGATGCTATTGTCTTCGAAAAAGCTGTCTTATTACGAATTGCTCATGATAATACTTTAGCAACGAAAACTAGTGACAGACATTTAAGATAAAAGTAAGGATTTCAACTTTATCCTTCTATAATAGTTAACGGTAGAGAGAGAATAAGCGCTAATTATCCTTCTGGACACCATTATCAGACCCAACTCCAATGTGAAATGAACATTCGAGAATCCCCATAGATGAAATTTTCGTCTCATCCCCCTCACCCACTGAAGATGTTCACTGTGATTTGTTGTCCCCGTAGATTTCCTTATGATTTTATCCGCATGTATTGACATTCATCCTCTCCCTGACCTGATATTTGTACATTTCAGTCGTGTGACCTATGTTTTATTGATGTACGTTCAATACAATAATCCTCTATATGAAAAGATAAGAGTAACAGCAAATGGAATCACCAATACCAAGACTTATTGCTTAGTCTGGTACGTAGAGATTGGAAACCATAGTCCTACTAATAGTCACACATGTGTATAAATTGCAAATATACCTGAGTACTAGGCTTCTAGGAATTTCCTTCCACTCTTTGTCATTCTCACATTGTTTTAATTGGATTGATATCCAGAACTGTCCACGCGAATTGATATAAAGAAATGCGTGTCATGGTTTTTAATTACTAGCTTATGTACATGGGTACGAAAATGAAGACGACATTCGTTTTGATCGATACAGCGTTTTTTCCAGTTAATGGAGAAGATCTGTCGCTCAGATGGATGATTTTTATGTTGTCTTATTTTTATATTGAAGTCTGAACTGAAGATGTCTAGAAAAACAATGAAGTCTCAGCAGTTAAGCTATCTAACTCAGAGAACACAACTACATAGAAATTTTATACGTAACGTGGGCTTTCTCTTCTTCAACTTTTGGGTCTTTTGGTATACAGAGTGAAGAGACCATATTGGCCTGTGAGAGACAACTATCAATGTCCTAGTAATAATTTCTGAAATGCTTTTAGGGTAAGGTAGGATGATTTTCCTTCTCATTTCAGAGAATGATTTTGTATTCTCCTGCTGAACTGATGATAGACATCTTTTGATGAAGTTTTTAGGATCTACATTTTTCTGGAACATGCTTGTAATAAGTCTCTTCTCTATTTCTTTCAAGACGAGAGCACTGCAGTTTTCTGTGACTGTCTTTTCCGTGGTGTTAGGTTTTTGTTATTGTAACTTATTAATTGGTCTGTAATGGTCGACTTTTCGTAAACTTTTGTTCCCACTTCTCCCATATTTGTTCGTCTAAGCAAGATACTCAAAAATGAAATTTGATTTTCTGGTTAATGTTTTATTCTAAGTTTGATGTAGTCAAAAACATTATTGAATCGAGTGTGGGTGATTTTTATATCATTTCTTTTAATTGTGAGAAATATGTGAATTAAGTGAGATATCCAGATTTTTGATTTGTTTATTGGTAGGACCACGGTTTCCAGTCTCCGCATATCACACTAAGCAATCGGTCTTGATATTGGTGATTCCATTTGCTGTTACTCTTATCTTTTCATGTAAAGGATTATTGTATTGAACGTACATCAATAAAACATAGGTCACACGACTGAAATGTCAAATATCAGGTCAGGGAGAGGATGAATGTCAATACATGCGGATAAAATCATAAGGAAATCTACGGGGACAACAAATCACAGTGAACATCTTCAGTGGGTGAGGGGGATGAGACGAAAATTTCATCTATGGGGATTCTCGAATGTTCATTTCACATTGGAGTTGGGTCTGAAAATGTTGTCCAGAAAGGTACTAACTAAAACTACGCGTTGAAACTATCCAGTTGAGTCAATGCAATACCAAAAATATCCCTATGAGCAAAATATCTTTAAAAGACAGTACAACATATTGCACATCTGCTTACGATTGAAAATATATCTTATAAGGTCTCCTAAACTTCTAGCTGCATCTACAGTTTAACGCACTGTTATTCAACATTATTCATTTCACATTTTAAAGTCTTCTATTCTGTATCACATTACCTTTCAGTTTCAATCAGAATAGGAAAAGGTGGTCTACAGTTAACAAATCGGGGTTTCCTCTTAGTCTTGCTACGAACCATCTTTGAGTACTAGTATTTTTAAAGAATGTGCAGAAACAACAGGAAAGGTTGGTCAGCAGAAAAACAACCTCAAATCGACAGGTAATAATGTACACTAACTATTAGATATTGCAACCAAACATGCTGTCTTCGGTGTGACATACTTTTGCCAAGGATGTGCTATTCGCTTTCAGGCTGAAGCTAAAGATTTTTAAGCGTGACAGAATCTTACTTTAAACAAACACTGATACAACTGGAAAAAACAACATCAATAACAACAACAACAACAATACTTAATACATTTTAATAGTTTTTATCTAAATAGCTATAAACGAGCACTAGTCAAGACTCTATACTATAGAGCTAGGAGATTATGCTTTGCTGTGGAATTAGAGAAAGAATTCACGATTCTCGAAAAGATGTTGAAATGTAATGGTTACCCTCAAAGATTCATTAAGAAATACGAAAGGTTTGAAGTCTCGAATGTCAAACAAATCACAGTGGAGAAAAAGCCCATCTACTTTCAACTTAATTATAAAGGTGAAAAAATTACAGCAATGGTCAACAGAAGACTGAGTACGTCACTAGCCAGGGCCTATCCTGCAGGTAAGCTCGTCCCGTCTACTAAACAACTTTTTTGGTGCAATCAAAAATCGATAGATATCCTTCTCATGTTAACTCCAACTGTATATACGAATTTACATGTACCTACGAGAGCAGTTACATTGGAAGGACAGAATGAAGGGCATACCTCAGATTTTCTGAACATGTACTAAAGCCTATGTCTAAAGGGAAAAAATGCTTTAAACAGTACCATCGCCAGGCATTTCCTTGATACGGATCATGAAGTGAAGGTCGCAAGAATGTTCAAAATTATCAATAGGCAAGAGAGTCAATTCTCCTCAAGTTTGCTGAAGCAATCTCCATCAAGCACCTGAAATCCGATTAGTGTGTTCAAAAAGAAGTGGTTACCAGTCTTTTCTTGCCCCGGTAGCCGGATCATTTTCACCCTCTCTTTCACCTGATTACGTAATGTCGAAAGTTTCCATTGTGTATGATCATTATTGTTCGGGGTAAAGTGTTCATTATTATTAGCATTGTAGGTATATATTGATTGATTGTTGTTTCAAAATGAACTCTGTGCAAGTATGTTAAAATTGTTTCTGTAGATATACTTAATAATGACTTTGACCTGTAAGCAGCTGATGAGAAGCCGACGAAATAAATGATGGTACCATTTTATTCAGCAAAAACTGTTGTTGTTGCTTTATTCGAATGTAGATTTGTTGTAAAAGCCATAGAACAGAGGAACCAAACAGTGAGATTTCAATTTCTAATGTCTTGTCCAAGAGAACAAGTAGGAGAAATTTAGAAAAAAACAAGTATACAGAAAATCGAACGACTAATATCGAAAGATCAGTTGAGGCTGCAACATTTTAACAACACGCAGAACAAGTTGTACACAAGCATCATTCAAAATAACCAGTATACACTAAAGCATTCCCTTCTTAGGAGGAATGTAAGAAGACCTGTTACGTCTACCTTCCAAAAAAATGGATCATCAAATATGGATAACTTTTCCGAAATCGCCTCCAGAATATTGAAATCTTTTGGAATAGATACAGTTCATAAACTACGGTAGACTTTTCAATCTATACCACAACGACCAAAAGATACAACGACAAACGAAGACAAAACTTCCAGCATCAAGTGTGAAAAACATTGTATTGGTCAAGGTGGACATCTTTGTCATTGTATACACTAACAGTGAAGAGACATGGTACCTAATTCTTCATTTCAGTGCACACGAACAACTATGTACGCCAACTGGACTAAGAATGTCGAAAAAGTCATAGGACCGTGATATTTAGATGAATGTGCAACTAGGAGATATATTTATGTAGATAAAATTTATCAGGAAATAAAGTAAGAACAGGTATTCTCCATCATCTCAAAGAATAAGTAACATGGTTAAAAGATCAAATATAAAGTCAATAAAACTACCTTTACCAATAGAAATGGGCATAAAGATGAGCAAAACTGCAGTGGCAGACAATCACTGTCGAGACTGTTGAGAAAAACAATAATTACTTTCAATCAGACTTCCTATAAGTCATTTCACTGTGAAGTTGTCTTCAAAGATGTTGTTTAGGAGGACAATGAAAGCTTCGTCACCTAATCATCCAGGTCAGACAGCACAGAAACACCAATATATATGATAAAAGCATATATTTAGAGTTCCAAAGTACCTCATATTTTACTTTTCCCACTTTGATGTATCAACAGTAACAACAGACTGTGGTCATAAGGTAGAAATGATATCGTTGTATCTTTACAAATTCGTCGAGATCTTTTAAAAGGTACTAGACTCACTTTCAGAGAATACACAGAAATTACAACATGGGTTTTTCATGGAAAAAAACACCAGCTGTCACGTTTTTTTCAAACAGGGTTTATATTACACAATATTACATGCCAACTCGAAGACAACCTTTTATTTATACGACCATAATTATTCGGTCTAGAATGAGTTCTTAATATCATAGAGCTGAATAGTAAAGTGGTATGGTAAAAAAAAGATTCAGCTATAAGGCAGGAGTATATTGCGGCTACTTAACGTGACACGAAATTGTGTCTTCACAATGGCAATATTAATGAAGAAACCTTTCTGACTGATAAGTTTGTTTCAACGTGGTTATAAAAAGTCGATTGAGTTAGACATAATTTTTACTACCAATCAGCCCAACTTTAAGTATGTCTCTTCCAAATAATGGAACTTATACCTTTTTGCATTCCCCTTCTTTATTGTTCTGTTTATTTTGACTCACTCTGTGCTGCTTCACCTTACAATGTGATTTCACTTTAGCATTCCTACTTTGAAAGGTTGGTTGAAAGTGAAGTAGCATTGTGAAGAATGACAAAATTCTACAGTATACCGTTTACCGTTAGTTATAGTACAGTGAGTTAAGTACTTTCCCATATTAAACTGTTAACAGATCAACATTAACCGCCATGTTGAAATCATCGAATGATAGTCATCATGATGAGCAGTATATCATAAAAATTCAGGTTAAATAGAAGTCACAATAAAATAGATAAAATATCTGGAAAGTCTTACGTACTAGATTTTATTCAACTGGAAGTCTAAACCTAATATACTCACATCTCCATCTTTCAGTTTTGGCATAATAGATAAAATAGTTTTACTTTATCAATAAAATTACTAGACAAGTTATGACTAATCAAGCTTTATATTTTAGGGCTTATCCAAGTATATAGACAAGGAGCTTGACACAAAATTCATTTACTTTACATGTTAAAAAGCATAGCCACTTCAGAAAAAGTGGTACTGTTTGGTGAAAACCAGGCATCGTTATTTGTTTAAGAATAATTCAGTTCCACGTTCATTTTAAACCTCGTCTGGTTGACTAACTGATTTCAAGCTTACGTATGAGGTTAGCAACCCCAGCACATAAAAAACAACCCTGTCACTAGTGGAACTTCAAAGTACAGAAAAAATAAAATTATTCTTCTTTGAAAACGGAGTAGACGAGAGATGCCGGTGAGTGAATGCATTTGGGGATCTGGTCAACCGGTGTATCTTCTTTCCAAGAAGCCAAAAGTAAGCAAGGGGACGTGGAATGTCTGTACCATGTTTCAAGTTGACAAGGGTACGTAATTGAGCCATGGATAATATTCCAGCCAGATGGCGACATCAAATTCTAATGGGTGGTGTGAATAACAACTAAAATGGGAGTTGATAACATAGGAAAAGAACTCGAAAGGTGTCGATCCGCTCTTGGCGAAATGAATGAAAATGAATAACTACACTTTCAATGACTTGGCGATGGGAGACAGCATATACAGCCACAAGGTAATGTGGGTTTCACCAGATGCACATACCGAAAACCACATAAACTTCATCTCAATCTGATCTCAAGCAAGTAGAGGTCCATGTAACTGGACACAAGGTTAAGAAGAGGATCAGATGTAGTTTCAGACCACTATCTGCTGTAAGGAACCTTTAACACCAGCCTGAAGGCTTTCACAGAAGCTAGAGATATAGTACAAGGCGTCACAGATGAGGATTTCAAAGCCAGTTCGGGTAGGATTAGGAAGATAAGACAAGCATTCATTACTTTGAGACCATTGTAGGGATTCACAGTACTTAGTCAGTGCTTCTATATGATTCACAGATTTATCACACGCGTCACAAAAGTGGCAATTATTATTCTCAGATAAGCATTTTCAACAGACTACAGGCTTTCATTAACAGGTGTCGCCCTCACTCCAAACTGACGATCGGATGGCAAGAAAAGACTGACAACAAGGTAACTTTGGTAACGGAGCAACCAAGAATCTATTGCTCAACAAAAGGAGGAGATGGAGCTGAGTTGAAAATAGTCTGAGGAGACCGTTGTGTAGCATCGCATATCAGGTAGTCATATGGAACATGAAAGGGAATAGACGGGTAGGCAATCAGAGGGTAATACGGAGGAGGAGATCATGTGAGGGGGAAATGAAAGCTTGTAGGCAGTCGTAAAGCTGGCTGATAATGACGGTAGAGTACAGAGAAAACTGAAAACTTTCAACTTAAGCCATATTTTCTACTCAGAAACTGAGAAAAGAATAATGATAATTACAGCCTTTTTTGCTTAACACTGATAAGAAATTAACATAAAACTTACTACATTAGACACTAAATCAAGGATACTTTTAACTGACCTTGCATGCTTGGCCTTTCCACAGCGGAAACGATTCGTTCAATTTGATTTATTGTCGAAGTACCAGGAAATAATGCCTTGCCAAGTAACATTTCACCTAATATACAGCCTAAACTCCACATATCGACATATTTTGTGTAACTGTTTGAAGCTAGCAGAATTTCTGGTGCACGATACCACCTCGTTGCCACATATTCTGTTAAACCAGGGTTCTCATTATCCTCATCCCCATCTATAAACGATTCTGCAGATGTTGCACGATTTTCAGAAATGCTGGCCAATGAACGTGTTAACCCGAAATCACATAATTTCACTAAACAATCAGAGTTTAACAGAACATTTGATGGCTAAAAATATAAATAAATAGATATGCAATGAAACGCATCATGATATATATATATATATATATATATATATATATATACTCATAGTGTTAATGAATATTAACTAGGTTTTCGTCTTCTACGTGTGTTTCTGCAGTTCCTACTTGTCTGACACTAAAAGTGGCGTGACATGCTCGCATGTTTGGCTTCATAACAATTCCTTGTGCTATACTGTAAATTTTTCAACGTGTAAACACGAATAATCTTCAAGGGATTATTTTGATCAGATTTTTCTCAATTAACGATGCACATATTCATGTGCACATGAGAATGTAGACAGCTGATTAGCTCATAAGGTAAAGTATTGTTAAATATTACAATACCTTGGGGCAGTGAAATGGAATCGACAGCATACAGAGGTATACTTAGAGAAATTGGAAGGCATTGAAGAGCAAGAAGAAACCATTATTCAATTACGTATCGAGAGATTTTGAAATTTAGCTCATAAAAGTGGTGAACGAGAATGCACACAGGTAGCTGACATAAGTGTTACGTTTGTTAAATCACCAGATACATAGAAGTCTAAAACTGATCAACTGGTATCCAACTATTAATAGCAATCGGTATTGTATGCCATCAAGTTGTTTCATTTGCTTTCAAACAATTCACATACTGTAATGTTAGTTAGATGGCCACAAAAGATCAGCAACAGGGAGGGATCTCTGTCAATGAGCGAACCAACTCAGCAGGAACCGATTGTGAAACAAATAGGCAAGAAGAAATGGAGATGGATTGGCTGGCCAAACTCTGAGGAAACCATCAAGTGACATCACTAGACAAGCCACTGCTCGAGTGGAACCCGAAAAGAAAGCGGGCGGCGAGTTGGTGGTCAGTGATAGGGTGGGGTGACTTGGAGGAGGTCATGTGAAGAGGAGATGAAAGCATGTGGGCAGACTTGGACCGGAGTGAAAAAGTTGACAGAAAACAGAAGGCAATGGAGAGGCGCGACTGAAGCCCTAGGAATTAAAGGATATAATAATAATAATGTTAGTCTTCCAGAGGAAACCGTGGTAAATTTTTCCCTTGAATTATGCATTTTGGAGATGAAAAATAATAACGTTGCATAATGTTGATAATGACCAAGATGGAATACAGGGACAACAAATTAAGTAACTGATCAGTAGACCCTCTGTTGGACACCGTCACAAAACGATATATATATATATGAAATTATCATTATGTCCATCACATGGACAGTAAAAATGATTCTAAATAATGGCTTCATTGAGGGTAGTTATCAATGTCCAACATAGATTTACTGATACCTGATTCGATGTGTCACCCAACATTCACATCTTTCAAAGTAGGATTATATGGATAAAAATATGAATGACTCCAACGGAGTGAATTACTACGCTAGACTAAATAAATAGTCTTTTCAGAGATAAATTAAGGAAATTATGCTTATTAATTCCTTAACGTTTCCAGTGGAATACAGGGCTTCCAGCTAGAGGCTTGAAGTTTCTGTAGCAGTGTTTATTTTAACAGGATGAGGCTGCTAGCCTCATAACTTATCTTTCCTCCTTACCAGCTTTACTACTGATTTAGCGAGGTAGAGGAGTGCGTCGGACAGGTATCGAAGCCCAGACCATGTGTATAGTCGGTGAGGAAAAGTCACTTCAAATTTAACAAAACTGAAATCTTATCAGATATGAACATCTGATTCAGAGTGATTTTAAGATATGGATCACAACCGTATACGGCACTTATAAGGAATGCATACTGATGACTATTTATACGACTGAATTCGTGGCCACCAAGTTATCCTCCTTTACCTCGTTAAGCCGGTAATAGGATTGGTAAAATTGGAAGGCTGAGTATGCGGCTGGCAACCCCATCCTGTAAAAATAAATGCCACTGCTACCGAGACTTCAAAGTTCTAGCTTGAAGCTTTATGTTCCACTTGGAAAGTAAAGGATTAAAAAAAGTTATCTAAGAAGTAGGCTATACTATTTAGCTAGTACTTTAGAATTCAATATCATATGAAGCAAGAAAAAAGGTCGAAACATAGGTGAGAATCCGTTCCGGATTATTTCCCTTACAACAATTCTTAGGATTATACCTTTCCAATAAACAAAGTAGGACAATTTATCTCGTCGATGGTAACCGAATAACGTCAACTGACTAGCTTTCAAGAAAAATAGACGTTTATAGTCTAGCCTAGGTAGTAAAACGCTGAGAAGAAAGTCTGAAGGTTTTACTACATGATTATTGAATTGAATTTTTGATTTTCCCGTCGATTGATTGGACCGAAGTGCTCGGTCTCAGGTTGACATGTCGGCTTCTTGTGCAGATGCTTCGACGATGTCTGGGTATTTAATCAGTATACAATTGGTGGATGGTGGCTAGCAGTGGAATCCAGGATGCGCATTTCATCATCACTCACTGAGAAATGCAGGTACATCCAGCTGACGAGTCCCAAATAGGACGAAATGCTCATCCTGGATTCCACTGCTAGCCACCATCCACCAGTTGTTTACTACATGATGTTTAGAAAGAAGGAGTGGATACTTAACAGTGATTTAGTACTCTCCGTTTCTCAAGTGTTTTTCAAATGATATCATTCCGACACAAAGGAGGTTGTACAAAAGCTTACCACTCAAAGTTGTAATTGTTTATGAAGGCACAGAAAAGAATTATATCAAAAAATAATCCTCGATTATAGGACAAAATCAAGAAATAAACTGAATTTTGATGATAAAACAAACTAATACATCTGTATATCTATGGTAGACTGAATACTATATCGCTAGAAAATTGTATGACTACTTATGATTCAAAGAAATACATTTTTGATAGGCCGTGCTGGTCCGACCAGTTTGTGGCTTTTATTCTCTCTCCATCTGATGATTTATATTCCATGAGACGTTGGACGAAACGCAGATTTTGTCGTAAAGAAGCGAGTACATGTAGATTATTCATCTCAAACAAACTTCAAACCTTCATTAACAACTGTCTCCGCTCAATACTCAAGATCAGATGGCCAGAAAAGATCAGCAACAGGGATCTCTGGGAGCGAACCAATCAGGAACCGATTGTGAAACAAATAGGCAGAAAGAAATGGAGATGGATTGGCCATACGCTGAGGAAACCATCAAGTGACATCACTAGACAAGCCCTCGAGTGGAACCCGAAAGGGAGGCGGCGAGTTGGTCGTCCAAGGGTGACTTGGAGGAGGTCATGCGAGGAGGAGATGAAAGCATGTGGACAGACCTGGAGCAGGGTGAAAAAGTTGTCAGAAAACCGAAGTCAATGGAGGTGCGCAGCTGAAGCCCTATGTTCCTCTAGGAACTAAAGGATACAATAATAATAATAATAATAATAATTCATCCGAAGTGGGTGTTAAAACGAAATATTGTAGAATAGGAGAATAGGACATTCAGGCAACCAGTATTTTGTCTGAGCCACATTTTTTTTACAATGTTTGTTGACTGATAAAATAATAGGGTGAAGACATGTGGAGAAAACACAATCATCAATGAAATAACTTTTTGCATATTTCAGTATCTAGGTGAATAATTTGTACAGACATAATTCATTATTCTATAACTTACTGGTTAAAGTGTTCAACTTTGAAGAATTTAATCAAAGTTTTGAACAAAACACTTAATAGCTTGGTTTCTTAGTTGCATTACTTTAATGTTGTTACTAGACTAAGCAGTTTTTGTATAGTCGAAAGGTGAAAATTTTTAATCACAACATTTCAGCTACGCCTATTTATTTTGTTGTCATAGCAGAGTTTAAGGACAAGCAACTGTAAATGTTTGAAGAGATTTCAATACACTACATTACAATGAAGCAAATATATCTTATATATCATGAATATATGAAGTGGACGTTCTGGCAAGTAAATTCTATTATCTGAAAACAGTAAGCAATGCTTACCATTCGAGTGCATATTATTTATAAATTTTTCATTATAATTAATGAAAGCAACAAATAAAATATGAAATGCTCAAGTGATAAGCACTAACATTTTTCCCGTTTAAGTTTTTGTAAGACAAGTAATGTTGTATCGGTGTGGGGATAGAATTTAAACTGACAGGCAAAGTGATTTGTGAAAACGTGATACAGTCTGAAAGAGTAGCATTTTCATTGTGAGGTTACGCGAATCTAAAGTAATTAGGAATGAGTTGGGTTGCTGTATTGCTTAAGCTATTTTCTTTTTTGTATAAAACTGCTTTTTTCCAATATAGATCATTTCAAATTGAGAACTAATTCTATTTTCTTTTTGTCGGAATGTTGAAGCAATTACGAAAACATTTGTGAAGGTGACTTCACTGAGATACAACAGTTATAATGTCTTTTACTCATGAATAATAGACACGCAAGCTTGCATCTCAACAATTTATGGATAACAGAGGTCTGTTTTCCAAAGCAACTTCATATTTCAAATATTCCTAAACCTTCTGTCTGTCTGTCTGGATACAACATAGAACTTGGCACCGACGTGCGGCAGTTCGAGTTGCCACGTTCCAAATAGCACACAAAGGTAGACAAGAAGATGAGTGGAGAGAATTAATAGAGTTTCACAAGTATAAGAGTGAAACAGAATGAGTAATGGTAGAAAGGAATATGAAAGATTGTAGAGACTGAATACATCTGCACCATTGAAAACGATTTTGAGCCATGTCACCTATTGTCTCCAGCCATTGATTCCTAGATTCCCGAGGGTCCCAACCCTGAAGTCTGCATCTCCCTACCTACCTGACTCAGTTTAACTGTCAAGGATTTCATGGATTGATGCCATGTTTTTGTTTGGCCACCACTGGCTCTTTTCCAACCTGCACCTATATCAGCTAGTAATGCCCGTCGGGGGAGGCGATGGTTAGGCACGCGCACCACGTGACCTAGCCATCTCAATCTATGTAACTTTATAGCCTCGTCGATTGATTTTCCCTCTTTGCCTAACACTCTACGCCTAACGTCAACATTACTTACCTTGTTAAACCACCTAACGTGAG